CATGACTTTGACTTGATAAAGTTGGTGCAGGACCCCAAACATTTAAATGAACTAACTCAAATGGAACCAGACTTTTATGATCAATAAAGTGTAAACTTAATCTAGACAATTTTTCTAAGGGATAGGATTGACAGGGAACTAAAGAGGATGAGCTCAAACTTAACAGATTTTGAGACTTGATGATAGAAAAAACCACACGATGATGAAGATGTCTAAACCGAGCATGCTAATCATCAAAATTTAAAATGGTGCTAACATTTGCTTGCTTCTTTGGTGGACGCAGTACATAGATTCTGTCTTCACTACGTCCTCGTAGAAGGATTCTCCTTGTCACTTGATTCTTAACAAGAAAGTGTGAGGGCAAAACTCAAAGAAGTAGTGGTTATCAATTGTGAATTTTTGAATAGGGAGCAAAAATTGTGTAATTTGTGGTACATGTAGTACATTGTTTAACTGAAATTTATGAGGGTAAGAATGATAAGTTAATTTTCTAGAAGGAGTAATTTGCATACATTGGCCACTACCAACCCTTAGGTGGTAACCGCTAGTGTAGTCATTAATGATGTTGAGAGAGGAAAGATCCAAAGTGATATGATGAGAAGCTACTGTGTTCGAATTCCATGGTAAGTATTGAACACCTTGGTAAAAGTTCAGGTTATAATGAGGAGTAGTAGTACCCAGTCTTGAATTAGCATAGGTGAGGTTTGCTTCTGCTGGAATAGGTTATCGTGGAGTGTACCTTTTGCGACAACGATCAGCCGTATGATTTTTGTAACCGCATATCTGACGTGGACTTTTGCATTTAGATTGAGAGAACTTGTTGTAATTGGAGGATGGCTGAGGCTGTTTGATATTAGTAGTGGAAGAGGGAGCCTTCTGAACAATGTTGGCGATAGGTGAGTCCTGGATGCTTTTTATCAAAATTTCATGGGCAAGGAGCTGACCATGGAGCTCATGAAATGGAACCGGTTCAGGCTTTATATTGAGTGCAATAATGATTCCATGAAATTTGTGTCCAATATTGCAATAGATAATTGCATTGAACTCCGCAGGGAAAGGTTGGCGACCAACAAAGGCAAGTTCATCAGCCAGAGCCTTGGCCTTGTAGAGAAGCTGAGAGATAGATAAGTCATTGTGTTTCAGATCTTGAAGTTTGATATGCAGTTGAAGTTGTCTATTTTGAGATACAGAGCCAAATGCATTTTCTAATGCACTCAAGACAGAGAAGGAATATGGGAGCCCAATGAGATAAGGAAAAATCTCATCTGAGGGAGAGGGCAGAAGCCAGGAAAAAAACATCTGGTCTTTCCTAAACCAAGCAAAATACGCAGGGTTGGCAGTAGTGGTGGGTGGATCACCGTTGGTTACCGTTTCTGATGGGGCTAGTTTACTACCATTAATGAGACCCATGAGATTTTGGTAGTTGAGA